ATAACAAAATGATAAAACTACTAAATTATGTTCCCTTTCTTAATTCCTCTAGGTAATTTAAGAACTATAATCTAATATTTTAACATAATCAATCATATATATGTAAGAAAGTTTTTGTTAGTAAAATTCATCAAATCACATATAATTAATTACAACTAATGTTTATTATATTGTTATAAATATTAATCAATCAAAGATGTTGACTACTTTCTAATTTATTTAAAATTATATCCATCACTCAAACATTAAAAATTGAATATTTGCATCAACATTATTTATATAATGCAACCAAATAACAATAATATTGACATAAAAGAATTAAATTCGTAACTTATATAGAAAGTTTTCGATTTTTTACACCGGTTCTAGAACCGCTATAAAATGTTTAAACTTTTACACTAGTTTTGTCTGTAACAGGTATAAAAGTCTGATAGTCACACTGATAATCTTGGATCAGGTATAAAAAGAGTCTCACTTTTTACACCTGCTTGTGCTAGAACAGGTATAAAAAAGTCTGACTTTTATATTTGGTTGTGTTATAACTAGTTTAAAAAAATAATTTTTTTATACTTGTTATGACTTTAAGTGGTATAAAAAGTGAAGTTTTTTAAAAAAATATTTGATTTGTTTGTGCTACTATTCATATCCAGACCTGCATAAAATTCAATCACAGAATATAGTCTAAATAATCAATAACAAGCAAAATAATCAATATTATTTCTATTAACATATCAAAATGTAATATTTACCTAACAAAGTTCCTAAATATATTTACCTAACATAGTTAGTTACACATAAAATAGTTCTTAAACTCAAAATGTAATATTAAAACATCTAAACATTTACAAATGGTTAAAAGAAATGCAGCCATTGCTTCCGAACATCTTTTATGACATGTTACTCCATTGGAGACGTGTCATCAAATATCTACACAATGAATAGTTTGAGTCAAGTTATAATATTAATGGCTTAAGATCTTAATTGTAAAATGTTCACGTTACCAAATTCCATGAGTCAAAGACATTGGCGGATATAATTTTCTGCATGTGCCTCATGAGATAACATTAGCATGCTTCCCGATTGACGTGAGCACTACAAGTTAAATTTATAAAGTATCATAAAATTTATAATTATATTTATAGTTTGAAAGATTAACTACTTATAGTTGGTGCAATGAACTGTAACTTCTTTCTAGAGACGATATGTGTTCCCTACAACCTTGAATATGTCTCAACCACTGTATAAAGTTAAATATATATTGAAATGAGTCCTAAGGAACTTAGTAAAATCAGTTATGTATACACAACAAATAAATTATTAAAAAACTTACGATATTAATATACAGGTATTGACCAATAAAAATAGTATCACCCTTCTTCACAACCTGCAAGATTTTACTTCCTAACCCTTGAAAACAAACTTGTGAAAACTAATCTAGTGAACTAGGACTAATTGACCTGCTGCTGAACACAATGCCTTTTTTTTAAAGGAATTGCACAGTTGTGCAATTTAGCCATGTGTAAGGAAGTGTTAGACATGGATGATTCATGACACATCTTAGGAGATTGATCTACTTGAGGCTGTGTAACCTATTACTTGAGGTTGTGTAACATATTACATGAGTATTTTTGTATTGTTTAAAGTTGTTCAAGCAGTAGTTGACCTAAGTAGTAATATTATGAATTCCAAATTTCCTTTTCCAAAGAAAATCTTCCTAATACGGGATAATGTATGGAAACTGAAAATAAGATTTGCGAGGAAAAACAACATATACAGGTTTCAGTTTCTCATCAATATTAGAAGAAAAAGGAGCAACATCACAATATGTAGGTTATATTGCTAGATATAACAAAACAAAGCATATGCACACATTAAATTTTATTCTTGTGTCGTCGCGAAACCCTAATCGCTCAAACATAGTAAAAGAGAGGATATAACCTTCTAGAGGAGTCGCGGTCCAAGAGCACGAGAGTTTTGACAAGTAGGCGATCCGGAAAGAGTCGCGGCGTTGATGATTTTGAACTCTGCCCTCAATGCAAAGGAGCTTGTGGAGGAGAAGAAGACGCACTAGAGAGAAATAAGGAAGACATGAAGCAAAGGAGAAGAAGTGCCAGAGAGAACTAAGAGAAAAGAGAAGATGCACGCAGAGAAAGTGAAGCGTGAATCGAAGGGGTGGGCAAAATATTTAATATTCCACACCGGTTCTAAGTAAAATAGGTATAAAAATTATTTTTATACAGGTTCTAAGTGTAACAGATGTAGAATTATTTATCATTTATTACGATTTTTACACCGTGCTATTTTTTATACCTATTTTTAGTATAACCGGTGTAAAAAAGTTTTTCTTACTTACCATTCTGTCAACGCATCATTTTCTATACTGGATAAATTTGAACATGTATAAATAAATTGCTATAAAAAGTCTATTTTACACTAGTGTCATGTTAAAATTTTCAGATCACATGCATATAAAACAAAATACACAATGCTCATTATTTTGTAGATGTGTGAATTATTTCATCTACCACATCAGAATAATCAACTACCTCCTCCACCTATTGTCCAAAAATGATATTATTGATATAATGCTAGATGAGTATACAAAATAGATTTCATACTCCTCAGAGTAACTTCGACAGAGCCTTGACGAGCTACAACATCAATGTTCTAAGACCTTTTGCACCCAAAGGAGCAAGACACATTACCTCATCAACGACGACACATTTTCCAATATCAATAATGTTAGGTCTGACCTTAAACACATGAAAGAAACGAATAAAGAATTCAAAAGGATAATTACGATAGATTAAAACAAGAAAAAGACATTTAACCAAGTTCTGATACTAAATGTAAACTTAAAGCAAAAATAAAGATACAAATAATCTAAAAATTAATTAGAAAAAATTTATTTAACATGAATATCCCATATTATACCACATGTTTAAGACTGCCAACCATAAATATACTTTAAATAATTTATTCTTAAGTTTATCATATTTCAAGAATTTCTAAATAAAAATTTGAATAACTACTTTTTAAATATATTTATTAAAATGATTTAAATAATAAAATAAAAAATATAACATATACTTTCTTCCTTATATAAAGATAATATATACAACACAAATATAGTTTGTCCCAACAATTTTAATTAGAAATATTTGATGCATATTATCACTTTTATATTTAATCCAGTGTTAAAGCATTAAATTAGTTAAAAGTTTTTGAAAAAAGAAAATAATTGCTTAAAAATAAAAAGAAAACAAAAAAGCTTTATCATCTGTCACTTAAACTTAAAAGCATTGAAATAAAAGCAATTGTCACAGAGAAATAATTTTATCATATTAACCATTACAGAAGTCAAGGGATATCCCAGACTCTATGCTAACTAAACCAATAGGAAGGTAACAATAGTAAAATTAGGGAGTTGGAACAATAATTTGTGGGGATGGAAATTGAGACGGAGAAGAGGATGGTTTGAATGAGAACTTCCCTAAATAAAATCTATGACAAGTAATTGAAGAAAAATACCCACATAGAACAAGAGAAGTGTATAGATATGGAAGGATACAGAAACAAAAACATATCATGTTAAGTCAATTTACAAAATACTGCAACATGAGTTAATTGAAGAAGAACACGTTTTTCTCTCAATTAGTTTTGGAAGGTAAAAGCTTTACCATCTACACACCACTTTTCTTGGAGGGTTTCACACAACAGATTTGCCACAAGGGACTATCGTCATGTATTCTTTTTACCCTATAGAGATATGTATACAGATTGGAGAACTCCACACTTGGCAAATTGTTGATTAGAAAATGGACTCGAAAAAAAAAGAACTTGGAATGAAGCTGCTTTGAAATGTGAAAACTACTCCTTCCTTCCCACTTCAGAATCTCTTCTAATTAATTGCATTTTGATTAGTTTGCATTATTATATTTTACAGAGCATTGAAAATGTAAGATCACATCAGAGGGAGAAAAAAGAGAAGATGAAGAACAAACATCATATTTTAACTGTGTATTATGAAATCTATAGCAGCATATACTCATACAAAAATTTACAATAAAGTATTGGTCCAATGCACTACAAAAAAATTTAAGCAGAATTATTCACGAAAATAATTCAATACAGAAATCACTGAAAGTTCTTTCCATTTTCTCCGGAACCAGTGGCTGGCACAGCCACTCCTGGCACTACAAACTGTGAGATACCTTCTGAGAGGTTCTTCACTGCTTTGTCAAAATTTACAAAACCCATGAACCAAAAATCATGTCCATCCACAGTCACAATCTGAATGTACTTTTCCGATGGGTTCTCTCTCATGACCACTGGGTTGACTGTTCCAACCTTCGCCAGAGGCACCATTACCTGTGACGCAGTAACAATTTCATGTCATTTCATGAATTTTGTCTCTGATCAAATCAACATGAAGTATTCCACCAGAGATAACATTTACCACATTTTAGAATTATGAATAGTAAAACTATCATTTTTAAAGTTTAACTGAATCAAATTTTAATTAAGTCTTGAAGGAATCAAAACCAGTGTTGATCAAATCTTGAGAGAACTAAAACACATAATAACCTTCATGTAGTTTACTCTCTCCCTCTTTCTCTCTGCAAAGATGAACAAATCTTTGATAAAGTATTTTGATTAAAATAAGTACCTTGTAGTAGGTCCAAGTTTCCTGGCCAGATGGTGCGGTGAAAGACAATGGGCGATCACTGCAAAAGGCTACATGAATATTGGACAGATAAAGGGTTCCTGCAACAGGACCTGTTGAAGTTGAAAGATAACAAGCAAAGCTCTTCTTGAGCTTCTCATTTTGATAGGTTGAGAATGTTTGCTTGTAAAGGGACTCAAATCCACCCTCTGATATTGCTTTCACAGTCAGATTCATCTTCCCCAGTGCAGCTGAAGACACTGATGGACCAGTTCTAACTGCAAGTAACAGTAGCAGACTAACAATCACATCAAATGAAAAAAAAAAAAAAACCGAGAGATTAATTTGGATCTATGAATCACAATGAAAAGTTCATACAAGGTGTACTTTATAACTTTTTACAGTTTAGTAGGATTTTGAGATGTTCTCATTACTAAAGGAATGAAAGTCTTCTAGAGACAAAATCTATAATAGATTTTTCACTAACAAAAAGATAAAAACATTAGTAAAAGCAAAAGATTCCCTATGTTTGAATTAATTAATATAGAGGTTGAAAAACTCACGGTTGTGCCAGACGTTGTGGGCAGTTGCTTCAGCCTTTTTACTCCACGTATCGAACATGTGAAGGATGGACTCCATGGGACTGTTGCTGGGTTTCTCCACAGGGCTGTGTTGGACGTACGGATGTTGTTGGTAGTATTGAACTGGCAGAGGTTGTCCGCCGGAACCACCGCTCTGTAAAGCTGCTTTTTTGTTATCTGGGTGGCTGCTGGGAACAGCTGGGGTGCCCATAATGTGAGTTCCCCAATTCTCGGTGCTAAAGCTGGGCGGAGAAGACGATGAAGATGATGCCACACCTTGTGCTTCTGGAACCGGCTGGTTCTTCTGGGTGGTGTTTTCGCTGTTGGTGTTCATGTTGTTTTATGTGCAAGAGAAAGATCAATGGAATTGAGTTTTTGGGAAATGAGGTTGGTTCAGAATGATACATACATAGGAGGTATCATATTAGTAGTTGAGTTTGGAAGGAAAGTTTTACGCGCTTACGCTTTCGAGAAAGATATCGAGAAAGATAGTAGTCCCACACCGCCATCGAAACCGTGGGAAAAAGAAAGCTTAGTAATTAAGATGTTAATCAAAGTGAACATACGTGGGCCAACTTAGTCGGTCTACTTCGACATATTTTAATGTTGGGTCTTATATAGTTTTTTTTCAAGGAAGATTGCTCTTTCAAACACTTTCTTTTCTTCTACCTTCTTTAAGCTTCTACAAGGCAATTTTAATAATATTTCAAAAATTAATATTTGACAACTATTTTTGTTTGTACATCCATTCTAAACTGTACTTTTATAATAAAATATTATATTAATAAATAAAATAAAACATTATACCAAAATAATAATTTACTAAATCTGTAATTTAAGTGTAAAAGACAAATTCTCTGTCAAAGAATCAGTTTTCTTATATCTATTTTAGATTGTTTAAAAAGTTACAATTACCTATAACAAGGTTGTAATTAGACATTATTTCTGAAAGGAATGAAGCTTATAACGTGATTTTAACATAGAAAAATATCAATATACATTCACACACACACACACATATATATATATATTATATATATATATAAATATATATATATATATATATATACTATATATTATTTTTCCTAAACTTGTTTTTAAATTCACATAATAAAACAATAATTAATCTTTTATGATTACGGATTTTTTGCATTTCTAATCATATAAATATAAACTTAATATTTATATTTAGAAATAATATTTGTCATTACAAAATTTCAGCGCAGAGTGATTATTAATAAAATCAATCAAATTATTATATAGTTTTTATTTAATTAAATGACCATTGAAGAGTATGATAATATTACAATTTTATCGAAAAATGTTTTAAAAAGTCATAAATATAAACAATAATAATAAAAAATTTAAGTTTTTATTAATATTTGATATCACCGAAATTTTATCTATTAGCGATGAGAAAGAATGATTTTAAGATAATAGAAGACTAGTTAGTCTCAACAATATTCTTTTATTAGATGACAAATACTAATACAAATTTTCAACTAGCATAAAATATATTATATATAGCAATTGTTTAACAAAAGTGTTAGAGGATTAGATAAACTTGTAATATCCTATATTTTAGTAGTATAAAACTACTAAAATAAGACATACATAAATGAAAACTTACAAGTAACTTGAGGCTACTAGAACGAGAAATCATATCTTTGAAGACCAAATCATATCTTTGAAAACCAAAGACTATCTATCCTATTGCTTTTTCCTTTCAACCAAAAGTTGAATCTCTTCAAAAATGTCCTCCCTAAGCTCACACCAGTTAAGGTGATCATTGCAAAAGAGAAAACAACACACAACATACAACAAAAAAGCAAGGATAAGCTAATTTACAATTGAGGAACGATATATATTTATAAACTCCCGTTAAAACATGTTACATACAACAAACATATCACTCCACAATCATCAAACACTTTATGCAGGACACTTGTTATGAATGGACTGTTTGGACTTAGAATGATTGCCGAGCTATGGCGGGTCGTGCACTCGTGGTGGCTTTTACTGCTTTGCAAAGTCATTGCCAATTGGTTTCACTCACGAGGTTAGTCTGTTTCGAGCCTTGGAGCATACTAGTTGCCTCCAAGACTAAGACCTTCTGCTACTCCTCACGACATGGTCAATCCTCCTCTACGTGACAATGAATAAAACATACTGAACCTCACCAAGAGGATTTCACTTTTGAACTTACTTTGAAACCACACCAAGAAGTTCCTCCGTGTAACCCATTTGAATCCATATGAAACCATATACATTAATCTTTCACTTTTACATTGCAGTACAAACATAGATATATATTAATTATACTCAAAAGACCACAAACAACTTAACAAGTCATCAAAAATCACATGAAACCATTCCATGTACATTAACAGACAATAACAGTCCAAGAAGAACCACTAAACAACCAAAACCCCTTAAACTCATACTTAAACAAGGAAAACAACTTTGAAACCATCACCAACAGTTCCAGAAAGGTGCAAAACCCCCCAAAACAACCTAAAGAATGTCCAAAAATGGTACCTGGAACCCTGAAAACCACCAAAAACTGTCGTGGATGATTTTTGACAACAATAATTTGATTATCATATGTGATAATCGATATTTGCGGACCTGATTTTATGGTTTTGGTGCATTAGACATATCCAAATAATCAACTTTAGAACTATAACCTAATATTGATACAAAAAACAATGTTTATCGATGAAATAGAGTTACTATATTGCTCATTTGAATAGAAAATTTAGATGCACCAAACCATTTCAATAACTCAAAAGTGTCTAAACTCAATTTATAAATATCATGCAATATCTACTCTATTCGTTCCACAACCAAGATTTAACTTATTTTAAAAGTCTAGACACATCATAATAGGTCTAACAAGACACTCTCAAACTTCCGCGAGACCGTTCACAAAAACCCTTTCCTCCAAAACTCTCTCATACTCAAAACCCACCTTTTACACTACAAACACTACAAATTCCATCCCTAATGAATTACTCCTATTTATTTATCTCATATTTTAAATCAAAAGACGCCCTCTAACAAGTTTCAAATTGACATTAAAACAGACCTGGAAAATACCAATGTATAAAACTCAAACCCTTATCTCCCAACTTGCCTATCAACCGCCACTTTTAACTACAACCAAATTCAGAACTTTGATGCTTAGCTGCAACTTGAACATTTTAGTCAAATCACAATCAACACAACTTAATAACACACGGTTCATCATCACAATAACATCAATATCACATATTATCATAAAATCAATCATAAACTAACCAATATACCCATTCAAATGATACCAACAGCAAACATGCAAGTGAAATTCTAATTAAATCAATTTATCCACAGCAGCACCAAAATTACTCAACCAACATAATTTAAAGATACCAAAAACTACGCTCTTACCTAAAACTATTCTCTTCACTGGTAGCACTCAGATCACGATACGTTGAAGAAACCCTCTTTGAAACCCTAAACCCCAAATCACCACAAATCAGAAAGAGAAAAGAAACCCAAATTCAAACCTTAAAACGATCGGGAAAGAACGTCGTGTTAGAGTCACCAGAAAATCACCGTGAAGAAGTCGCTATCCACTCCGTTGTCGTGAAGAGAACGCCGCTGCTGTCGCACCCCCGAACGGAGACAATTGCATCGCAAAGAGGAATGAGTTTCCTCCTACAACTCCTTTTCCCTCAAGCCCACATCCTTCTATGACCCTAGGGTTTTCAGAGAAATGAAAGAAGAGAAAGGGAAAGTGATGAGAGAAGAGGAAGACAGGAAGGAGAGTGACAGAGGAAAAGAAGAAAAGAACGGGTCTTACAAAACTAACTAAAATTTGAAAGAAATTAAATTATTCTATTTTAAGTTATTTTTGCTTTTTTTTATACTTAATTGACTCACGATTATAGTTGTGGTTGTTAGGATAGGTATGGAATTATATCATTAAAGAATATTAGAGAATATTTAGTTGAGAAAGAAAAGAAAATTTGGACGAGTGAAATAAGAAATTTAGTTGATAAAAAAGATATAAAAAAAGCAATAATAAGGACTGAATTATTAATCAAGTCTTTTAAAAACATGGGATGCTTATAATGTGTTTAACAGTTTGACATATAAAATTGTGTATTTCTTTCCCTTTTGTGATAATCTTTAGTCCATCATTTTGTGACCATGAAGGTGATGGTATAAGTGGTGTTTTCAATGTAGGAGGTGATGTGGGTATAGGGAAAGATTTAGCATGGGTGTTACGCCTTGTGATTTAGCTGTGTCATTAACCTTTGAAGTTGTGACAAAAATGTTTTCACAAAATTAGTCATTACATTTTTCTTTTGTTCCATCTCAAGTAATTAATTAAGATGAGTCTTTTTTGCGTTATTCTTAGATGGTTTCTATTGCCAACTGAATCAAGTTAATATATTCGTAGTATTTACACATCTACAATGATTTAGTATGGGTGTTATGCTTTGTGATTTAGATGAAGGAGCCATATAATAGTATCAGTCTTACATATGGTTTGTAACAACAATTCTTTCACTTACAGTAAGAGTTTATCTTTCAACTTTGGTTTTGGCTCTTGAATCAAACTTTCATTTGTGCTTCAGTCGTTTGCCTTTTCAATATTTAGCTTTTGATACTCCAACATTTTCCTTTCATGCTTATTAGCTAGATGCTTGTCCTCTAAAGAAGCTTCTATATATTTTCTACAATTAAGAGCTTATTATCTAAGGAGGTATCAAATAGGTAATAATAACCTTGGACAACTACACCTTAGGGTTCTTATGAAGCTCATACTATAGATAGAAACTAAATTCCTAGAGAAAAAAAGGTGGTAGTTTTGTTGTGCAAGTATGTCTAAACTAGGAGAAAAATTAGAGACCCATTTCTTGTAAAC